ATATATATATATATATATATATATATACATACATTATACATACATATACATATAACAAAAAAACAAGTATAGAATAGAAAAAAATAGAGAAAGCTAGTGTTAGAGACCTTTAAAAAAAAAAAGAAAACAAATAGAATTAGAATAGAGAGTGCTAGAGTTAGAGGGTCAAATAAAGATAATAATAAATGAAGCTAGACATGGACTGTAGTGTACTGGCTGTAACGCGCCGTCGCTCCTCCAGTGCTGTAGGGGGCGCTGTGTGTCTCGCTATGTTCGCGCTCAGACCGGCGAGCGTGTGTTAGCGTTAGCGCCGCTAACGTGACAGAGGAAGTTTCCACAGGCTGTCGCTCGCTTCTCCGCGATTAAACTCAAAATCCCGTCGGCAGAGTTCGTGAGTAGCTTTTATTCTGCAGATCAACAGACGCCAGGGTTCCGAATATGAGCATTATGAGGGAGGTTTGCGGGGGCTCGCTGGTGTTGTCGTGTTTATTGACTGCTAGCTCTTAGCGGATAGCACACAGATAAAGATCACGGCTCTGTCCTAAAGCCTGCCGAGGCGCCTATCTAGACAGCGTCTTTCGGGGATAACTGCGCATTTGATTTATTAAATGCAGGTTCACGCGTTTAGGGTGCTGTAAATGCTGCTGTCTGTGTAGGCGACGAGGATTTGAGACACGGACAGACTGGCGAGCTGCTGTTTGTTGTGGATTGCTTTGTACCTCATTCGTCTAGTTCACTAGAAATACTGAAGGTCAAAATCTGCTTAGTCTAGTCTAGATGTTTATTAGATGAATGACTGACTTCATTGAATTCATCTGATTTTTTTAATGCTGGTTGTATTGTTTTGATCTGTCAGAACTGATTTATATATATATATATATGCAAAATGTATGGAAGCCCGTTTCTGCCATACAATAAAAATAGAAAAGGTCCTTGTGAGTTTTTAGGTGTTTTTTCTTTCTTTCTCGCAATTCTGACAGAAACTGACATGATATAACAGATAAAAACACAAGATAGCCAGGGGAAAAAAGTCAGAATTGTGAGATAAAAAGTCATAATTACCTTTTTTATTTTTTATTCTGTGGCAGAAACACAAAAAAGAATCGCGAGACAAAAACGAAATTGTCAGAAAAAATAATAATTCTGAGTCTATCTCACAATTCTGTGTTTGGTGACGCTTTACTTAAAGCCTTTATGCATAACGCATTATAAAAGTAGTTTTAATGCATTAATTATGGCTTGTAATGCACCTTATAATGCATTCTCAATCTCATGAATACCACAGTTAATACATTATAACACTTAGCAATTTATGGTTACACTTTGCATTTTAAATTCCATTATAATTATTAATGACAAGATGTTATGTATTACAACTCACATTATGAATAATTATAATGCTGCTGCATTATACTCTTTAATACCTCTTTAAAATGCATTATGCATAAAGGCTTTAAGTAAAGTCTTACCTATGTTTATATCTTGCACAAAAAAAAGCCAGAATTGAGAGACGTAAACACAAAATTGTGAGATAAAAATGTGCAATAATTTTTTTGGAAATGGGCTTCCATAATAGATGTTGACATCATATCATGTTATAGTCATAAGTAATATGTTAAAATGAAAAATAGTCTATTGATCAATCATTTTACATTTATTAATGTATCATTCACTTTGCTCCTCTTTGGATAAAAGCATCTATTAAATGCAGGAATGTAGTGTTGTGTACATGTTAAAGTGTGTTATGTGTGTGTCTTCTCTCGCTGCAGTGAGTCTCGTCAGCATGTTTAACCCTCACCAGCATCAGCAGCAGCAGCAGCAGTTTCATCAGCATCTGCGGCAGCTTCAGCAGCTGTTTCAGCAGCAGACGCCTCCTCCTCCTCCTCCTCCACCGCAGCCTCCGCCCGCCCGTCACATCACACACACACGGTATACATTCAACCTCAGACCCTCCGCTTTCTTCACACTCTCCACCAGTGCGCTCCAAATCTCTTAATCTTTATTATCTGCGCTGTGTTTGTGTTTTTCAGGCCCATGGCTTCTGCTTCTGCTCGCATGGTCAACCTGTGCTCAGCCACGCAGGCCATCATCGCTCCCAACCCCATGCTGCAGGGGGCGCTGCTCATGCAGCAGATGCAGGGTAAACTCATGCTTCCTAATATAGCACGCACTGTATGTGACCAAAAGCAGTCTTAAGTCGCTGGGGTATATTTGTAGCAATAGCCAACAATACATTGTATGGGTCAAAATTATACATTTCTCTTTTATGCCAAAAATCATTAGGATATTAAGTAAAGATCATGTTCCATGAAGATATTTTGAACACGTCACCATTTTTCTCAGTAAATATATTTCTAAAGGTGCTGTTGACTTGAAATGTTCACCAGATGACGGTAACAACACAACTAATCCATACATACAATACATACATAAATACTTTGTCCCTGTGTCATTCCATTTTATTACACAGAACTTAATTTCTGAACTTATTTGTTTTGTTTTATTTCTGTGTATGGATTAGTTGGGTTGTTACCGACATCTGGTGAGAATTTCATGTCGACAGCACCTTTAGAAATATATTCACTGAGAAAAATGGTGAGATGTTCAATGCTTATTTTGCCCGCTGTGTTTGGTAAATCTGTGGCTCTCTTGCTAACTGAACGCACACAGGAGTTTCAGGCTCGTCAGCCGGACAGAAAGAGGGAAAACGAGCAGAAATCTGCGGGAAGCAGCGACAGCCAATCAGAAGCCAGCAGCAGCAGAGGTAATTGTAACAGTTGTGCGTGAACCAAATATATACAGAAATCATGTAATCGTAACAGAAAAGGAGGAATGTTTTAGACAAAACACTGAAAAAAAAACTTTTATACGTTATACAGCCCTGCATCAAATGTGACCCTGGAGCACAAAACCAGTCATAAGGGTCAATTTTTGTGAAATTGAGATTTATACATCATCTGAAAGCTGAATAAATAAGCTTCCATTGATGTATGGTTTGTTAGGATCGGACAATATTTGAAAATCTGGAATCTGAGGGTGCAAAAAAATCTAAATATTGAGAAAATCATCTTTAAAGTTGTTCAAATGAAGTTCTTAGCAATGCATATTACTAATCAAAAATGAAGTTTTGATATATTTACGGTAGGCAATTTACAAAATATCTTCATGAACATGATCTTTACTTAATATCCTAATGATTTTTGGCATAAAAGAAAAATGTATAATTTTGACCCATACAATGTATTGTTGGCTATTGCTACAAATATACCCCAGCGACTTAACACTGCTTTTGTGCTGCAGGCTCACATATTTGCTGAATGAAACACTTGTTTCTTATTAATTTTGTGCTGCTGATTCCAAAAAAATAGTGGTCTTGCATGTCACATTTTCTCACTAAATATGTGACCCGTGCTGGCGAAATGAGTGTGAATGTGCACGGGCTGAAAGTGGAAAATGTCGAATTTGAGGTTTTCACAAAAATGAGTTCATTAAGCCCTCTTCTAGCGATCCCAATGCTCTAAATAGTAATTAAACATCTAAAGTGATCATTGTTTGTCTCCTCTCGCTTCTTGCACTGACGATGCATGCGTTCCCGATAAATATACACAGAATTACAGTATTCAAGTATTCACATAATCTGTTATGTCTGAAGTGAATGTTTGGGGAAAAACATCTGATGTGTAACATTACATTAGATCCGTGCATACAGTAGGTCTTAATATATCAGCCGTCTGTCTCATTAATGTTAATCTAACGATGAAAGAAAAGAGGGAACCATTCGCTGCACTTGATTGAGCTGCTTTTGTAGTTTTAATAATGTAATGAACACACTAAAGAATTGATTATTTGTTTTTCTTACTTGAATGCTTTTGTTTAGATGTAAAATGAAAAGGGAGATGCATTATGTTTCTTTCTTTATATTTGTTCTATTGTTTTTTTTGCATCTGTTCTTATTTATAATAACAAAGATAAAATAAGAAACAGCTATATTGTGATTCTTAATAATTATTGTTAAGAAACGAACTGGAGGAAAAGATGCAATGTTGCTCGTTTTTTTTTTTTTTTGGAAAAGTCAATTTTTCTCAATATTGGCTGAATCTGTCGACTCAGTCAGGCTCATTGTGACTCATTTTGCACAGCACAGGTCACAAACGATGCATTTCGGAGCATGTTTTGCTTTTAACGACCATTTGTAAGGTGAAGAAGTCTCGAATTCTCCCTTAATCAGCAGAAAACACCACAAAGACATGATGATGCCTGTCTGAATCTGAGCCAGATTACAACTATTTGAACACCTTTTTCACATTATTTTATGTTCTTTTTCACATTACCGTTTTATCCTGATTTCAAGGTTAGAACTATGGCCAGTAATAAAAGAAAATGCAAACATGACACAGATGTTTTCTGCTTTTACTGCATCCAAACAGCCACAGAAAATCACAGATTTTGTGAAAAGCTGATTTATAAACTTGTGTTCATTGTAAAGTTCTTTGACATTAAGTAGTGTTTAAATATGTTTCCACTCCTTTGAGGATTGCAAGTTAAATGATACATTTTGAACACATTTGTATCATTAAAATCAAAGCTTGAGACATGTGTCTGTTTTTGTTTTGATAAGTGCATTAAAGCTGATACATACATATAGTTTAAACAAATCTTCATTATTTTGTGGCATGATGAAAATTTTATTCATATTTTTTAACTCTGCATCATCAAATTAGGTATATTAGATATTTTTTGCATATCAGCAGATTTTTTTTTTAATGCAATGCTGTGTAATAAATGCATGAACATATGCAATCCACATACACCCAATAAAATAATCAAATCAGACTATTTATTTTATACAGTAAACATGTGAAATAAACAAATGCACAAAATATGCAATACATAATGAGTTTAAAATATAGGAAATATATTTATATATTCATATATTTTATTAATTAAATATATGCGAAGTAGAATATCTCTGATTATAACACTTCTTTTGCAAATGTGCTATATTGGGAAGTTTAAAAACGTAAAATACAAAGTACATTTCAACACTATTCAACAAAAAGTAATGTAAGAGATGCAATAGAATGTTTAGAGCTATTATAATCTTATCTTTTCAGACTTGAATGATTGTTTTTGAAGAATATGTAGAGTTTTGATGGCCATAAATCATAAAGCATTTGTGTTTTGATGTGAACAGCAGATCCGGGATGTCAGGAGTCTTCAGAGCAGCCCGACGAACCAGCGGCCAAAAAACACAAAACGCAAGAGTCAGTGCCTTTACATCTCTGTATTAATGTCAGAAATGTCCTTAAAGACAACATTTACTTTCTAGTTGGGACCTATTCATTATGCACATCACTCCTGACTTCTTTCATTAAGAGTGAAGGCTGATTTGATCCGTTTTTTGGTGTGTTTGAATGCGTTTGAATGGGGAAATCATGTGTTTTGTGTGTTTGTGCAGGTCAGAGGAGCCTGTAGAGACAGAATCGGCTCAAAGCGCTGAGTGTAAGAGCCCAGATCCTGCAGGTAGGGAGGAGTTCACCTGATTAAACCCTGTTCAAGGAATATTCTGGCCTTTTCAGCATGCATCACATCTGTGACCGGCTGTCAGTGATAAAATCATTTGTTTAAAAACATTTAAAAAAATAGAAATTTTATTTGCAATAATGCCATTACAATGGAGGAATGTTAAAGCATGTCAATTTTAACACCAGTTTTTCAGTAAAAATATGTTATTGACCTGTTAAATTGCCCTAACCAGGAATGATGGTGTTGTTTCAGTATTGGTTTTTAATTAATTTTTTATTTTTAGATTTTAGATTTTCATTTGAAAGTTTTAGTAATTTTTTGTGCCTTTTGCCATTTTAGTAGTTGTTTTCCTATTATGTCTATATAGTTTGTTTTATTTTTCAGTTTTTGCATTTCTTACTGCACCAAGTTAAACTAAATGAAAATGAGAAATGTTGCACAACAGTGCCTTGCGAAAGTATTCAAACCCCTTCGTTTTTTCACGTTTTGTTATGTTGCACCCTTATGTTAAACTGCTTTAAATTACTTTTTTCCCACATCAATCTATACACCATAATGACAAAGCAAAAACAGAACTGTCACAACTTTGTGAATTTATAAAAAACTGAAATAAATACATTGCATAAGTATTCATACCCTTAACTCAGTACTTAGCTGAAGCACCTTTACAGCCTCAAGTATTTTTGAGTATGATTCAGCTGTTCGTTTTTCTATTTTAATATACATTAAAATCTAATTTATTCCTGTGATGCGCAGCTGTATTTTCAGCATCATTACTCCAGTCTTCAGTGTCACATGATGCTCGGCTTTAATTGTTTACATGACCTGATATATTAGCAAGACTTTGCATTAATCATGTTGCTTTTCATAAACCTCACTGATAAAAAGCAGTTTGTTCCTCTTTTGCAAGTCGCTTCGGATGAACCCGTCTGTTAAATGCATAACTGTAAATGTAACTGCAGAGTTTCCAGAGCCATATGAACGGACTGACGCACCAGCAGAAGATGATGGAGATCCAGCACATGAGCAACGCGTGTCTCGTCACGCTGCTGCCGCGAGTCCAGGAGTCCCTGGAAGGAGCTCGCAGAGACGGGTCAGAGTTTCTGATGCATTTATGCTTCACTAGCTTAAGGGAATCAGGCCATCCCAGATTGTTTCTTCATCAGATTTGTAGAAATGCAGCATTGCATCAGTGTCTCAGCAATGGTGGCAAAATTTTGGTGCATTACTAGTTAATATTCCAGAAAATGAACAGCAGATCTTAGTTGAAGAGGAAAATTTCAGGTATCTTTCCTGAAATGCACACACTATGTTTAAAGTCGCACAACTCATAACTGAAAGTGTGCTCCTTTTTGTCCTCATGTTGCAAGAGCGATTGATGCATCAGTGTGTTTTCACGCTTCACGCCGCCTGTCTTTCTGAACGTCTTTCTGTGCTGTTGCAGTGAGAAGAGACCGGGTCTGCAGAGATGGTGCTCCACCTGCCAGATGCACTTCACTACCAACGTCATGGAGCACCGCAGAACCAAGGAGCACAAGGTCAGGCCAATATTCCTAACCAGGGCCCGTATTCACAAAACATCTTAAGGCTAAAAGTAGCTCATAACTCGCCGATTTAGGAGAAAATCTTAAAGGGGGGTGGTTCACTGTTTTTTTTTCTAGGCTTGATTGTGTTTATGGGGTGCAGTCTA